GACTCCGACTTCAAAATGTCCTCCGATCTCTCGCTGACTTGGGACAAAGTCGACTTCGCGACCTAGCCCGAGATACCCCTGAGGGGCTCGGCCTTGTGTACTTAACTGTCCAACGGGGAACGAAGGAGCCTTCGAAACACATAGACGACTCGACCACGGCAAAAGCCACGAAAGTGCTACGCGTGTTGTGTGAATTAGTCTGTGACTGGTGCATTTTGGCGGATCGTATCGCTCGACGATACGTATTCGTGGCAGATTCCAGCGGTGCCTCGCGTGGACGCCGAACAACGTACTTACCGCGCGGTACTCGTGCTTCTGGGACGAACGGAGCAGAGGACTATCGTGCGAATATAGGAGTAAAATAGCTGTATAATTTTCACGTGCGAGATTTTAGGTGAGTAACTTATACACCACGCCCGCGGACGATGCACAATCACGAGCCATCGGAGCGTGAAGACGCAAGGACGGGAGCACGGAGCGAGATACCGCGTAACAGACGTTTCTAAAGGGTCTTTGCTGAGCATTAATGTGCACGATTGCACTTCGGTCTTCCTCGGTCGGTAGATGGAACCAATATCCACGGGAGCGTCGGTCTTTTCGTTTCCTGCGCAGCTCGATCGAGATCGTACGGATCGTTCACTGAAAGTGGTCTCTGTATATTGGATGAAGTACGAGGCTTACGAGGGTAGGCCTCTGGCAGCCATCTTTGAGAATTTGCCACGTGAACTATCTGAACAGCGACTACGTTCTAGTACTATTAGAATATATGTACTAATTCTATACACTGGGAATACAGAAGACGCGAAAATCCGTGAAATATATTACATGATATATGTACTTTAAAAGTATATACGTGATTATAATCTTGAAGGAAAAATGGTATTCGTTATCGATGGAATATACATATACAGTTCGTACTGTACTACTTTGAATTTCTTACGAACACTACAAATATTTGGAAATGAAATTTACAGTATATGCATGATAATATACGAATACAAGAGACTGCAAAAGTGCACAGAATGTCACGAACCAGTAAAAGAAAAACTGCTACGAAGAGAGTAGTAGCGCAGTACCTCAATCGCCATGCATGCGACGCATGTGGATTTTCCCAAAAATGGTAGCCTCCAGATCCTCGCAGAGGCTATAGGTCTATGCCACATCCAGTACACATAGATCAGTGATCGCAGTGACGACGCAACGGCAACCGACGGTCGTCCCGCTACCGTAAACAAGATGACAACGACGCTGTCTTCAAAATTCTCCAAAGAATCTCCTTGCGAGCGTTTTTAGCTAGTTTTTACTATCCAGTCTACAGTCGTGTGTTGCTTGAGTTTTAATAACTCCGAATAGCGTGTGTGTTAAACAGGAAATATCGGGAAAGCCGCGTATAGGTTTTTCTCGTATGCTTCCCCTCAACACCCACCCAGCCACCCCTCCTGCTCCCTCTAAGAATAAAATAAAAAACTCAACCATATACAATCGTAATAATATAATCGGATAATTATTACATTTACGGGAATCTAATATAAATGTAACGATCGTAAAGGCTATGTATGTCTGTATGTGTACGTACATATACCTATACATAAGAATATATGTAAAATACAATGATACAGGCTGCGTCCTAAAGCCGTGGTGCGGTCGAAGAAGAACGAAATAGAAAATGCTAACACAAAAAAAAAAGGAAAACACGAAGAACGGAAAAGAAAAACAGAAGTAAGCAGAAGTCGACGGCTTTCCCGCACAGCTATATAATTTTCTAAGCAAGAGCATGTGATGTTAGAGGTTACATACTACGTTACTTTAATCACACAGTAATCGCATAGAAATTTCGGAATGGGTGCGGTCAATGATGTACCGATGTCAGGCTAACGTGCGGTTCTCCCGTTTCTTTTTATTCCCCTCTAACGAATCTTTTTTGTTGTTTTTTTGTGACATTCCATGTTTCCAAACACGCACGAGCAAGAGATCCAAGCTAAAAGTTGAAGGATTCGTCCCAGAATTTTGATTGACTGCTCCCTCTCGTCTAGTAAATCGACCTTATATAACTTAGGCCCTGTTAAGTGCCTATCGGTAATATTTATCTGATAACAATAATAATATACAATTATTAGAGATAGAAGTGAAAATAAAGATGTACTCGTTTTGGGGGAAAACGTTAAGAGAATCTTTAGAGAGGAGGCCAGAGAGTCTATCATTTTTCTGAGACACCCTTCGCAGAACCAAATGGCTTCGTACGTAGACGTTACGATAAAGGATCGCACTGCCTAAATCGGTAATAAGGAGAGAAAGTCGTGAATGCGAGATGTGTCTCCGAGCGTGGATAATGCGTGAAAATGTATGTGAGTGCCTGGAAACGGTATCAGCGTACGTGATCAACGATGGTGCTAAACGAAATCCTAATTAAAGCTATCAATTGTCCTCGAGACGCCGCGGTTGAATCGCGAAACATCCTTGCACAATCGAGTGCAACTAAATTATCAACGTTGATACCCACAACAATGGCGACGTAATTCTGACAAATTATCGTAAGACTGTGCCCAGCAGCTGTCAAAATTTCTAGGCTTCGATCAATGAAGCTTGCATCTGTAAAAAGCCAATTTATTTCTCTATGATTGGCGTAACTTTGAACAAAGAATTCGATACCGCAAAGAGTGTTTCGTCGATTCACGTAGATTAAACGTGAATCCCTTGTTTTAGCGATCGGAAGTGGCACTGTGGCAAGCGAAATCCTATCATCATCGTTCACCCCAATATCGCGCAACGAAGAAGCAGCAAAAGAATGCAACATTCCAAACGTTCACGCGCAAAACAGAGAAACATCCCGTGGCCCTCGAGACACCATGTTCCAAAGCTAGAAACAGCCGGGGAACCAAACGCGACTCGTTCTCCATTTCCGAGTACTCTCCAGCTGAACGCCAACTACGAAGGAAGCCTCGGTTAACGCGCTTGCCGTGTTGTACACTCTGTCTTTTACTACAGTTATTTAATACAGGATGTCCAGAAATTAGCGCGACGCTTGACTCGCGTTTTAGTCACTACGGAAATTTTTGCCCTCTTGGTCGAGATCCATTCGAAAACCGTGCATTTAGGTGGAACCGCTTCCCTTCGATTCGTCCGTTCGATCCGATTATACAAGTCGCTTCGTAACCACGCTACTAACTCTCTGCATTTAAATTCTCTAATCGCGCGATAAGCAAGGAGAAAGGGAGAGAACTAAATAAAGAGCTGCGCCCCAGCGCTGGGAGAATAAAGGGGGGAACATGGTGCGTGATCGGGGTTGAGAATCGTGCCAAAAAATATCCTTGCCACCGCGTATCGCTTCGTCATACGAAACGTACCACCCGTTGCCATGACAATAAGAGTTTTCTTTAGCGTGTTGTAAAGTAATTATTGTATCATACATGAATCGAAATCGAGGGGAGTACCGCCCACAGAGTGATGTCCACAAAGCTTCACGTCAGCTTTCTTCACTCCCGTTATCGTGAACATGAATGCTACTTCAGTTTCATTCGTGGCCAACGACTTTGATCGAAGCAAAATTAACCCCTCAAAATACTCAACTGAGAACGACAAAAATGTTATGTTTAAAAAGTCATTAGGAAAATGTTATGTCAATGGCTCCTGGTATTTTCCTTCAGGAGAAATTTAATAACTCTTAATAGCCTGAATGTTTACAAAATCATAGATGCATGAGCAATCAATCGTTCATTTCTTTTTATAAGTTTGAAAAATTATAATAAACTTCGATGGGGGTCGATCCATGATGGCCTTGAACAGTCAATTAATTTTACTCGATTATATTTTGTTTCTGTTTTAACACGTTCGCTGCCATCGTTCGGTTGCAAAACCCAACATTACACTTATAGTCATTTTATTCAGCGTAGCGCATACTTTCAATTGCGTACGAATACTCGTATTAAAGAGGCACAACTGAATATTCTAACTAATATAAAACTGGGCCATAGGTCGGACTTCATTTGTTTTGTGGTAGCGAGCGTGTCAATGTATCGCAGCAAATATCGTTGCTTGTCGTCGCGATCCCGCGATTATTTCACTTTCTTCGAATCATGAAATCTGTCGATGATTGATTGATCGATTTTGTCAGGCTGTGCGAATCTGGTAGTCTGTGTCGTGGAGACGCGTAACAGTGTCTTTTTGTTTGTATAATCGAGCGTGTGTGAGAGCGTGTGTCAGAGAGTAGCGCGCGATGAAAATATAAATAATTAAAAAAAAAACCAAGAAGATGAAGAAGAAGAAGAAGAAGAAGAAGAAGAAGAAGAAGAAGAAGAAGAAGAAGAAGAAGAAGAAGAAGAAGAAGAAGAAGGAGAAGAAGAGGCAGCGATTAGATGAAATTTGACATCGTGGACGTGACTGTAATCGTCTCTGTATAGTTTTTTGCAAAATATATCGTGTATAGACGTACTGCGTGCGGTTGCGCCGAAAACAACAAAAGTTTAAAAAAAAAAAGGAAGAACGATTGTGCGAACACGCGCTTGCGCGTGCGCAAACACACACACACACACACATACAATCACACGAACATATTTTGTATGAGCATGCGAAGAAAGAAATGGTATAAGTTTTGTTAAGTATCTATGAATTTATTGTAATGATATGTACGTTTAAGTAACGATCACGTAATTATTGCTAGAGAGAGTGTTATTTATTTTTATTTGTTGCAAATTTATCGATTGCCTTCCATTTGAGTAAATAAATAAATCTAAAGTTATTCGCTAAGATGTACGTTTATTTTCCTGATGATTTCCCGCGGCACGTCATTATGTTCATAAATCATTTCTATGCGATTGTACAAATAAATACTTATCAATTAATAGTAGAAAATGTGTGAGAACTTAGGCTTTTACTTTATTACTTGACTCTCGTATTTAATGCATCGGAAGAACTTCGCGCGGAAATTCCTTTTAGAGATATCTATTTATACCCCAAGCATGCGCAGTAACGCTTCCGAAGTACTGAGTTTATCAGTACGTAAACGTCAAATCGAATCAATTCCACGGTCTGTTAATTCGAAGTTTAAGAAAGTTAAACAAGTGTAAACACAATGAAAACCGACAACAATGTGTAATATCGATACTCCGAATATAATACGACTCCGAGTACAAATCAATCCAACTCCGTGCACTTATTCGCGTTTCGTGTTTAGCAATAAAAATCGTACAGCAAACCTAACCTCAAAAATGTTTATATTATAATTGTAACTAGTGTAAAATTTCTAGGTGACAAGTGAGTACCTTGCATTGGTAGCGGTACCTTCATTCTCTATGTTTCATTGATAAACAGAAAATTATAACACAATTGAAATAATACGAAATTACCATGTACATAAAATGCGATGTTTTACTACTTATATCATGGATGATTGCCAATAGTGAATATACATTTTAGAAAATATCAGTACCTGAAATCTAAGTTAATTGTAAAGATGAAACGCAAACCAAAAGTGATAGCAACTGATGCAACAGCCCCAAAGAAACAACATTGGGCAACAGGTTTACTTGTTTCTATGGAAGATCCTGATCTTAAAGTGAAGGAGGATGATAAAGTGGTTGTCATCAAAGACAAATATCCAAAAGCCCAATTTCATTTCCTGGTCTTACCAAAAGTAAACATACCTTCTTTATGGCATGTAAAAAAAGAAAATGAAGATTTGTTGCTTCACATGGCTAAAGTTGCAGAAGATATAACTAAGGAACATAAGGATTCAGAATTTTTGTATGTATAGATAATGCAAAGAATATCTATATTGCTAACCAGGTGGCCATAGTATATAATAAGGTAATGCATTCAACATATTATTTACAGTATTGGATATCATGCTGTACCTAGCATGCAACGGTTACACTTGCATGTAATTAGTACAGACTTCAACAGTTCCTGTTTAAAAACAAAATATCACTGGAACTCGTACACAACTCCGTTCTTTTTACATTCTAAGGGTAAGATGTACATCTTATACTATTCACGATGAATGCCACTCTTTCGCGAGAAGCGCTTTATGTTTTTTCGGTTACAGATATTTGCAAGGAGTTGCACGAGAAAGGCGAGCTCAAGAAGCTGAAAACCGAGGACAGCGCCGAGCATCTTAATACTCCACTAAAATGTCACAAATGTCCCGCCACTCCGAAAAATATGCCCGAGTTGAAAAAACACTTGTTGACACATTTACCGAATCGAAAAAGTAGCGGCAGCTCCGATTAATGCAGCGATGATAAATGACCATCGCGAACGGGACAATTTGAATTAAAGTTAATTATTTGCAATAGCGACGACACCACCGATTTCATTAGTATAAGAGTATGTTGGATAGGGCATGTCGCTGAATTTTTATGACAATTTTCTTCGTTGATCCGGTTTCGTTTCCAAACCGAAACACTCCTAGTACGAAGTACCCAAAACTCTCTAATAAATCTATCTTAACTTAAATTGTTATCAAAACATTCGATGACATGTCCCCCTATACATACTCGAAGGACGTTGAAATCGACGAATTCAACGCTATTGTAAATCATTGCCGAATTGAATAATGAATTATCTATTTTAACAATTAAATGTCTTTCTCCATTCTGTGGTTCCCTAAGTTATAGCCAAGCTTAACGCAAAACATGTTGTTATCTTATCCAGTATCAATTAGCGTTAAAAATCCAGAAGCCCAGGAATGGGCAAGTGGACTCTACGAGTATAAACATCACGGGACATTGGTGAAGCACAGCTACGAGCCATATGACGTCACAGCGAGATAAGACGGTAGAAATAATCGTAGTAATGGGGACGATCCAGCACTTATCGCGTACACTCGCATACTAACAACGCCGATACGACCCATTCCTGCGGTGCTTCCTATCAGTCATTCTTATTGTGACGTCACTTTCCTTTCGCGTACTCCGTGACGAGACTCACTCTATACCTGAGAGTCAAAGTTGTTCATTCCTGTTGTAGACATTTGAACGCTGACGTGGTCAAAAGTACGATTTTAGAATATTCAATGACTAGGCGATGTAATTAGTGCGAAATGTACGTTAAGGTTCTGGTAAAAAAAAAATATATATATATATATATCATTCTATATATTATCATAATTTTCCGTTTCCCATTTTCATGTGATAACATTTCACTCCTGAAAACTTGATCATCCTTCGATTTTTGATGACTAGCGATCCTCAGTTTTTAACACGAAGCGAGACCTCAGCATAATTATAAAAGGTATCCGCTGGGATGGGAGGGTATAGGTATCGATTAATACACAGATGTACGGTATTTCGGAAAATTTACTATAAATAAATTTGATGTTAATATTAATAGGTCTTGTCGCCTATATAATATCAATTACATGCTAACTATTTACAGAGTCTTCTTATCCGATGTGAAGTATTTAATGTGTATAAGTGACGCGTTGTGTAGATGGTGTCAATGTGTAAGTGTAGTTTAGTCTGTGTACATTTAGTAATACTGCAATTAATAGTTGAACCGTCCTTCTTACGCCGAAACGGTAGCCATTCGAATAGTCGCAAGGCCATGGCTGTTATTGCTTACGTAGTTTGCGTCAGTGAATCCAAACGATTTTTGTTTCATTTTTGTTACATCCGTGGATCCCGCTTGTTTTAAGTATTCGTTCTACTCTTACGTAGTATAAATTACATTTAGCTAATCGCGTTTCGCCTCCGATCGCGTCGATCGTGTATCGTCTCAACAAATACGGCTAGAGATTTTTAAGTTTTTCTCGGCTAAGAGTAAGTGGAACTATGGTACAAAAGGAGGTGGAGCGCCGGCCTCTCCATGAGGGGCCAGGAATCCGTGGACCGGTCTCCAAAATAACGAGGGAAAACTATTTTAAATACAATAAAAGCGACTACCCGCCCCCTCGGGTCGGGAGAAGGAGCCGGCGCTCAGGAAAGCACGCGTTTCCATCAAAAAAGTTTGCAACGCCTGCATAAAACGTAGAACCTGCAAAGTTTACCAACGGTTGGAAACGTCGCGCGGGGATGCCGTGTCACCGACCCGTGTCGAACGCCTCGAGGGTCGATGAAACGACGGAGACGCGATCCCCCAACGCGAAACGAAGCAACGAACGGAGGCAACACGTCAAAGGGAGCGAGGAACTTTTTAATCGGACTTGGCCGTGAACGATCGAGGCGTCCATGTCTCTACCAAACAACCGACTGGACACCTCGGATCTTTAACAAACTCTTTTGACGCGCGCTTCGTTTCGACGGAAAGATCGCGTCGCTTTTACTTTTACCTAAAACTCGATTCCCAGTTGCGGCTCAACGGATGCTCGGGCAAAGCTCACGCTCAACAGAAAATAATATCAACATCGTGTAATAGAATCGTAATAGGGCACCTCAACCTTCCTATACATACTTCGCATGGTACTGCAATGCATTGCAGATTGTATTTTGTTTTAACGGTAGCCGATGCAGCGTGGTTGCCCGAAATTCGGTATTCTGGCGACCCTTGTACCATTAACATGAATTTATTAAACTAACTCTTCTCTTCACCCAGAGTCTGACATTATTGATAGATTAGCGAATATATCGTGATATTATGAATTGTGTCATTTAAAAAACATTGTTGAAAATTTGAACATTGAGAAAGGACCCTGTGTGATTTACAGAAGTTGTAAATTGATTGATAAGATAATTGAGTTATTTGCACAAAATCGCCTAGGTATTCAAAATATTATGATATTGTCATAGACTGTTTGAAGATGAAATCAGTTAATTTAAGATTAAGAGAAATGGATTTACCAACGTCTGGTACAAGGCAGAGTTGATAAATCGAGTGACGCAGGTTGACCCGAATGGAAGCTGGATACAAATGTAGTGCCAGCATTGGTTTTAGACGCGAGCGTACTTCTCGCTGCTTGAGTTTGCCATGGGCACCCCTTGAGCACCGATGGAAATCGAAACACGCACGCCATCGAGACGCTATCCCTCGTGACCGTGGAAACGGAAAATGCGAGGGAGGGTGGGGAAGGAGGTACAAAGGGGTAACAACTGTAGGAATTCCTCCTCGCGATCGATTCTCACTATAGTTGTGGAAGAAAGAAACGTGGAGGAGACGGAAGCTCGCCGAGACCACGTGCCTCCCTTTCGCCCGCAAGCACCGTACGTGGCGCGCCAAAAGCGGTCATTTCGGGAAGCCACTGGGCGCAAGGACAATGCCGATCCGCGAACGAATCACCATTATTTCGAGCATACTCGGGCGGCATCTTGATCACGACGATCGACCGTCTCTCCGTCCATGGATCATTCCTCCGAATACCCTGTTTAAGTCTTCTAAGTGTCGCGAGGAGAAGGTGCTGGCTCGAGGGACCTTAACCGTACATATGTGTATACATATGTATATATAGTTTGTATATACAGTACAATGCGTCACGGTGAATCGCGTACGCGATCGAGTCGTTTGCCGTGGGTAACGTCAACGAAATATTAAATCTACACGCGCGTCTCTTGACCTAAACCTAACGTACTGTTCTTTATACACGATTTCCCTAACTACTATGCACAATTCATAAATACTTTGTATATCTGTGTACGCATATATGTTTTGTATATATATGTATATATATACTTTTTACATAATATATAGAATATTTATGTATAGATAATATACAGGCAATATCGTACAGTTTTCGGCAACGACTGGATCGCGCGGACGCGCATTCACGTCGAATAGCGTCTCGATGCGTGCGAACGACGAACGCGGCAGTATTATTTACAGTGTACCTAGGAGCGTTACGTACAACGATGATAATAGTAAATATAGTAGTCGAACGCATACGTACGCGACGATCGCGCCTACGGTATTAATATAATAATCGTATAGTAATAGTGGTAATAGTAGTAGTACTAGTAAATAATAATCGCAGTGGTGGTAGCGGTAGTGGTACTAATAAGTCTGTTTGTGTGTATGTTTATAAACACCTACGTAAACGCGTGCGTAGATCCGTTAATCGATTCTAACGTAAAACGAACAAGAATAAATAATTGCGCGGACGAGAATACGGTTATGTAATAAATCGAAAAAAAAAAAGAAATACTAAGAATCGAAAAAATGGGGACGGAGGCGAAACGAAAAACAAAAAAAACGAAACGTGAAATCGCTTAAATAATAATGTCGAAAAGTTACGAGAGGGGAAAATACTTGTGTCGGTAAATACGACGAATAATCGATAACGATAACGCGAACGACATGTAACTATAGTGGCGTTACTAAATACTAGGAAAATTAAGATTAATAGTAAGAATGATAATGATAATAGTTTTGAACGCGACGACGACTGTGCTTGGTTATGCATGTGTCGTTTGTGTACATGTTGAATGTGTGTGTGTGTGTGTGTGTGTGTGTGTAATTTTTTGCATCTAAGCGGGATACTGCTACACCTTAAAGCAATCTTTTTAAACGATTCTCTATCGACTACCTACTTAATTCATAGGGTCACGTTCAAGTGTGTCAAGTCTTTCACAGGGGGAAAAGAGCCTCGCGTTCTCTTCCCATGCTCCACCGCTTCCACTTTTGTACAACGAACGTTTCTCCTTCTTTTCTACGAAGAAACTACCATTTCTACGAAACTTTCGCTTCGAATTATGATCTAAATTTGCTTGTCCATTTAATTCCCGGCTATACACGCACACACACATATGTTGTTCGATTTCGAGTCCGCGAGGGCCAGAACGGAGGCGCGAGACGAAGAAGAAAATTCGATCTAAGAAGAAAACGAAAGCGGAAAAAACACCGTGGTTGGACAACGATATTTTTGTACTTACGAAGATTTATCTATATCTAAATAATTAACTATCTAATTAACTATCTATCTATCGAACACTATTTTAGACGATTAGTGGACGCTTTACGAAGCCTGCTCTTCGTGAAAAATCGCGCTAATATTTACAAAGTATCGAGGGAAAAGGGCAACACGAACAACGAGAGAAGAATACTGTAAGAACGTGAAGAGAGCAAAGGGGCTCCCGAACGGAACAACGCGCAACGTTCCGTGGTGAACCCCTTCTTTTTCAGGCGACGTTAAACGGTATTTTAAAGCTGCAAAGCGACACGTTGTCCTCCACTGCATTTTTTTTCATTTTTCTTTTTTGGTTCACTTTGACTATACAAATTCGCGTCTAGATTCACGCGGGATCGACGACGATCCTACATTATAATTTATCGCGAAACCGTCGTCGTCGATGCCTGCTGCTATCTAAAAACTCGTCTGCAAATTTGCTATGTAATTTTGGCTATGTTTCGAACGAAGTCTCGCTGCGCGCTGCTTGAAATGCGAATGATCGAAAAGCGCCTGGCAGTTCGCGCCTCGAGGTTCTCGTCAATTACTGTACAACCCCACCCTTCCACCCTTTTTTCTATAGTTTCGAAGCGTCGATCGATCTTTTGAATTTTTCGTTACGTTTCGCGAATTCTGCACAAAATATTTACGCGGATAAACAAACTCCCCGTCTTCCTTTTTGTTTTAGCGACGAGTCAACGTTACGGTGGTCAGGCCAACCGACCTCGATCACACGAGCGTTTACAAGTCGAGCAGCGCGCGCACGCGAGTAGATACACAGCTAAAAACCTTGGCTAAGAGTTTTCGCTATTTCTCGTGTGTTCGCGTGTTAGTAAAGACGCGCAGCCACTCTTCGAGGTTCCTCGAGGTCGATAATAAATATACAGCCGTAAACGTAACCGATGCAAAACTTTATCTCTGTGTTTCCGACCGGTTCCTCGAAGAGAGTGCGCTATGAATTTGTTTACCTAGAAAATTTGTCCTAAGCTGTACATTATAACGAGCTAGAAGAATGCTAAACTTATCCTAGAACGTATCATCTCTAACGACGAGTCGTCACACCCTAACGAACAATCTTATAGAGTCACCTCCTCTGGCCGGCAATCGAGCGCGTCAATTTCACGGTGCACCTCGCGGACATTTTACGCAGTCTACCGATGATAACCTTTTTTCATCCTTGTTCCGTTTTAAAACGATCATCGTGTTCAGTCTTGTGTTTAAGCGGTGGTGGACTCCTGCAGGCCATGGTGGACTCGCATGTTCTCGATGGCTTTACACCACTCTAATGCGAATCCTTCGGGATCTTCAAGATAATAGGTTCTGGTTGGCTGTAACAGGAGGAAAAACAAGGTCACGTAAATATTATTGCTGGAATATTGTCAACGTAAACAGGAACGATCGAACTAGGCCAAGGTACGCACGCTATTATCCGCAGAACTTTATTTTTAATCGCGGTAAACATCGCCTCGACGCGGACTTGGGCTATTTCGAAACGGCGTTGTTTGAAACATTATCGCGTGTGTGATGTTAATTTTTCGATCGAATTAGTTTAACTGTACGGATAGCCGGCTTTTCATTTTTCAAGAATAAAAGTTCTCGTCTATCTTACAGATGATTCGAATGCCAAAGAGTAGATATTCAAGATAATGATACACGCGTAAACAAATTTTACTTAAACTATTATTTTCTGTTTCAGCCTCGAGGAAAGATCGCCCGTATCCGATCCAAAGAATCAAGGAGAAGGTCGCTTACCGTGTGGACGAAGAAGATTTTGAAGCTCTTTGGCTCGACCCTGAGTTCGGGGCTCCAGGGGATCTCGCCCTTAAGCACCATGTTGACAGGATCGACATAGTACAGGTGTGGTCCGGTGGTGAGCAGGAGCATCCTTCGCCTGGCGAAGAGTCCTTTCCTCTTGTTGATGAATCCCTGCTTGAGTATCAGGTTGCCCTCGACGAAGACGTTCCACTGGTTGGAACCTTGTTGCTTCTCCAGCCGGTTCTCGTCGGGCGTCAGGTCGGTGATGTTGCCGTCGGGGTTCGCGGTCCTTCTCCTCGGCTGTTTCTCGACCACCGTGCTGGTCGGCGCGGGTTTCACGCGCTCGGTGGTCGCGTGGTGGTCCTCGTCGGTGTCGTCGTCGTCGTCTTCGCCGAGACCCAAGCCGAGAAGTCTGGTCAGCTGTTTGTCGTCGAGGCCTGGTTCGAGATGATCGGGAACCCTGTACTGGGACCTGAGCTCCTCGTTCTCCGACGTGCCAGGCAGGTAGGGATAGATCGGCGGCGGCGTCTGCTCGTGGAGGGTCTCGAAGTCGACGCCCTCGAAGAAGGGATGCGCCCTGATGCTGGGGTATCCGGCACCGTGTTCGTCTTGGGCGCCCAACCTCTCCGTCGGCTCGAGAACCAGTAGCTGGCTGACTAGCGATCTCGCCAGTTCGCAGAAACCGTCGGGTATCTCGTACTCGAGTTTCAAGATCTTTTGGAATATCATGTACTCGCTCCTGGATCGGAATGGCGGTAGGCCAGCGACCATCTGGTAGACTATGCAGCCGAGGGCCCAGAGATCGGAGGCTCTGCTCGCCGTTTTGTCGGTTAAGAGTTCCGGCGACACATATTGGGCGGTACCGACGAACGATCCTCTTCGTTCTCTCCTGTACTGCTGCTGCTGTTGTTGCTGCAACTGAGGGTCGTCCGTAGCGGTGTGCGTCAACACCGTCTCCGGATCCTTGAGGATCTTCGCGCTACCGAAGTCGGTGATGAGCACGTGCATATTCTCGTCCAGCAATATGTTTTCCGGCTTGAGATCGCGATGAATGATCCCAAGACCGTGGAGGTACTCGAGACCACGAAGGATCTCCGCCGAGTAGAACTTGGTGCACTCGATGTCGAACGAGCCGACCTTGTTGATGTAGGGCAGGAGCTCACCGTTCTTCGCGTAGGATAGGACGAAGTAGAGTCTTTCCACGTCCTGGAACGTGCAGAACAGGCGCACGAACGAGTGTTTCGCGCCCGCGAGCATGTTCAGCACCTCCTTCTCCCGCTTCACGTACTCGGCCTTCTTCTCCTTGATAATGTGACGTTTGTCGCACACCTTGATCGCGTACTCCTTGCTGGTGTGGATGTCCTTGGCGAGATAAACCTAGACCGTTGAAAACCTTGTTAGGTCTAGGCGCGTCGTTCTAGGGGTGTTTTAAACTTTAAACTGTTTTCTGTTACAGATCTCATACCATCGGGGGAAGAAACTAAACCGGGACAATTTCGTTCGAATAATTACTAGATGCTAGCCGAATCATCAAACGTTCCAATGCTTAAAGAAACCGGACGGATCGATACACCTTCGAAGTAGGGTGCGCGGAACGCAAAAAAAGTGGAAAGTTTCGTAACGAAGGGGAGAAAAGTTTGAGAATCACTGAAGGATTAGAGGGTAGAAACTCTTTTGACCTCCTTCGCGGTGTTAATTCGGAGCTTCTTAACGATTTAATCGAGTTAATGGGATAATACACTTACGGTGGAGAAGCTTCCCTCGCCGATCACCTTGCCAAAGATGAAGTCCTTGGGAGTCCGTTTGTGCGTTGGCGGGTTGATGGTGGTAAGTGCCGGGTTCGTGGTTGACGAAACCCGGGGCGCCAGGGTGTTGGCTGGCGCGACCACACCATTGGTCACCTCGTTCGTTGGTGGAGACATTTTGGACACCGGCCCCTCCACCGTTACTGCCGGCTGTGGCGAAACGGTAAGCGCCTGGTTCGCCACACACTGTAACAAAAACGTCCACGACTTCATTACCAAACAGTTCCACGAGTCGTTCCTTATCTCGCTTATGTATACAAACGCATCCTGTTTAATAAGATGCTTGAGGCTTTCACGGTTCCGAATGGACACCTGGAACCCTCCATCCCATTTAAATTACAAACGTTCACGACTCTTCTAACGCGTGACCTATTCACGGCCATCTTAGGTTTCTTTAGATTCGTTCTAGCCCTACGGTTGTGCTTCCAACTCGTTCCTATTCGGTACGCACCTTTTCATTCGAACACAAGCATTCGCCGCGTAGTCTATCGACTTGGTCGAGGCATATAGCATGTGTAGCCCAAACGAGCATAGATCTAGACCCCTCGGCAAAAATATAAAAGAGCAATCTCCCCGGCTAATTTTTATCGGAGTTGATATATAGGTATCTTCAACGTTTTTCGAGGGGTGTTCTCGGCATTCGAAACTCGAGTAAAAACTGGAGCCGATCTCTCGTGGGACAACGCGGAGGCACGAACCCGCGCGTCCGGGCGCTTAACTCCTCTCATCCGCCGACGATCGGTCCGGAAATCAAGCACCGGAAGTGACGTCACCGGGGCCTCCACGTGGCTCAGTCGCGCAGGTCAGGATGACGGAGCCGCTTGGAAGACCGATTCCGTGCGAAACGAAAGCGGCGAGCGTTCGTATCCCACGCACGTCGGAAGATCTCAAGGCTGCGCGGGCCACACGGTATTGCAAGAGACTAATCGACGGTATCTGGATCGCAGGATCGGGAATGATTGCCCCCGATTCGGACTCCAACGGATAAAAGTGCCAGCGAGGGATTACGCTGACTCGGTGACGGTGAACGCAATATATAAGGTAAGAACAGGATTAAGCAATCGATGTTTCGGACTAGCCGAGAGATTACGTTCGCGTGTTATGAGTCAAATGAATTCTTGCCATTTTTATGAGAAAAAGTCTCCAGTTCCAATGGCAACGTATATTTCCAAGTTCTCTTAATATTTTTGGTCACCGCTGTATTTGTCAGGATCACGAGTTCCAAGAATAGTTTTTTTTGTTATCCTCGGCAATTCTACCTCCTTTGTCCCTTTCGCTGGGGTACGTCGAGTGAAACGGATTCTTGACATTTCTAGGAAAAGTTCACCAGCTGTGGGACCAATCAAGATCACATCTTCTTCAGATAGATCGGTGTCGCAGCTGGTGACTTTCTCTTAGACGTGGCAAGAATTCGTTTCATCCAATGTAGTCTCACTTTTCCAAGGGACAATGGCTGGTAGGACCAGTACCCGAAACACAATAGCGGTGTCCGAAAGAACTGAGGATGCATAGTACTTTGAAAGGAGTCGATAATATTCGTAGAAGAAACGAATTTAAAGGGTAAGGTTGTAAGTAAGATTAGGGTGCATTTCGATATTATTTCTGCTCGACATACTTGATATGTCGTCATTTCGAAACAGAACCAAACAAGAAGTGAAAGTGCCATGAAGAAATGTTTACATGAGATGACATGTGCAACTGAACGAGTCCTCGACGTAAACCATGCGCATCTTCATAGGTGGACACTAAACGGTGCCTGGCGACATTGTTTAGAGAAAGCAAGAGTCTGGAAGTGCTGCCATGGAATGGGGTCTTGTTCCCACAGGATTTGGCCACAGGGCGAAAACAGATGCCGTTTGGTAGAGCTGTGAGAAACCACGGTGGTATAACATCTACCCCGACAACTTTAGAATCGAGATGCACAATAAAAATTGTAACGCATCTTGCGACAGACGCCTGTTTCGACCTGCTACCCTAACGGGGTCAACGAATCCAGATACTCGATCGAATGCTCTCACTGAGGAGGTCGTGAAATACAATGAAATCCGAAGGGTGCAAGACGTAAACGAAAGAAGGGGTTCGATGGCCGTGCACACGCGCGCAAGCGTGAGTATTAAACGACGATCGCTTCGTTTCCGGCCCGAAACACGATCGCGAGCGACCCTTTCGCCTGCTGCTTCCTTCCTCCCATTACCATTGTGTACTTCCGCTGAAAGACGGATTCGCCCGCGTTATATACCTTGGAAAAGAAAGGAACGAGTTCCGTTCTCCGAATCCGGATGATCCTCGAAATATGGCTCTCTCGTCGGAGACTTTGCTGCTCCCCCATCGAGAGAACAGCCTTCGACCTACTTGACCCGGTGCACGACGGTCTTTGACACTTCCAAACGAGCTTCGAGCGGTGTTTCGTCGAGGACGAGACGTAAATATTGTTAGTTTCACCTGACCTGGAGGACGCTTTTACAGTCGGGGTACTTTAATATGGAATAACGGCATAGATATGCGCGATATTCCTTATCGCGGTGAAACTCGGAAGACCTAATCTCCTTATTTAAAATTTAAAATGGCGAAATCACTTGCCTTGCACCGCTCGGGAGGATTCGTACGAATGCATCTTTCGAGATAACATCTACTCTTTTATTCAGACCAACGATGTTCGGAAGCAAGCTAACCCGTAACGACTCCATCAACGGAGTTTATCGATGGCTCGCGAATCAAAGAAGGGAGTAAATATTGGTGATGTATTAAAGGGCCACGCCGAAAACGGAATGGAGGAGAACGAAAGACGGTGTAAAGCGAACCGGTGACGACAAAGAGCCGCAGGTACGGTAAATAACGTCGAGACAGTGGCAATAAATACGCAACTCGGCCCAATTTCGTGCCGCACGGACGTTCCCCGGCATGGATCATCGATCACTTTCCGCGAACAGGGGGAAACACGGCGGAAGGAGAGTCCTGAAGGGCTACGAGACTCGTACCCTCCGCTACCGTTAGATGCTCGTAATTATTGGGGCTGCGCCGGTACCTGAACAACCTAAAATGGCAAGAAACTTCGGGGATGTCCTTCGATCCCGATACAAGTACACGGCGCAACCCTACACGAGCACCGTTACTCCATAATGCTTATGTCAAGCTCTTTGCAGCGCCAAGCTCGAGTAACTACCTAGAAAATGTCCATTCTAGCACGGTGGGTGGCTTTGACTATTTACTCGACGATATACCACTCGTGTTTCTGCTATTTTAATAGAGCACCGCATTGTCGAAGCAAGTAATCGCAGATGCCCGGACGGACATTTTATAACTGGACAAGCATACCCCTTCGGGGCCCTTTTGGAGCAGCGTTTGCTCACATGGGACGATCATGTTTGTATAGTTCGGAATAAGTGATTTAGAAGATGACAGAATTTTCTATAGGCTCTGGACAAGCAAAGTGAGAACTGATGCATCGTGTATCCCTCAGAGAAATTCTCCTGAGCTGCCAATGATGCTCTCGTTCGAAGAGGTTCTTGAACGGTTACAAGAATTGGCGAGCCATTAAACGTCGCGATGACTGGTAAGCGGTATTCAGTCGCGACCGTTCGATCGTAACCTTGCCAACCCATCCGTGAAAGAGTTCGAAGAATTAATCGAGGAAATCGGGGCGACTGGGTGGAGATCAGACACCGGTGAAAGAGGACGCACGCGCGACCAGGACGAAGAAAGAGGGAAGCTACTATTTAGAACGATGAAAACGCAAGTTGGTAGAGTCCCTTTCTTTCGTGTTCTTCGTCCACCTTTCCTCGTTCTTCTTCCCAGGCCGGTTACGAGACGGGCCCCACGGTATCAACCATCCGTGTCAGGCCGTCGACCTCGTCGAGCATTTGCCCGAGAGCCACCCAGCAGCGGCCCTCTGCTCCCTCCGCTTCGCTGGCTTTCGCTTTGCCCCGCTAGTTTATTTATTTGCTTATCTATTCCTTGGTCCCCCGACTCCCGCCTCCGCAGTGTCTCTGTCTCTGTCCCCTCTGCGTCGCCAAGGGATAACCAACGACAGATACCGCAGGACAGATCCCACCGCCGATCGCTAGATATCAACGAGAAGTCTCGCTCGGGCAGAGAGGACTCGGATAATCGATATACCGACTAACGTCCCACCAGACGACCTCGCAATTTGCTTAGATCGCAGATACGTACAGGGTGAGTCGCTTGAAAATTACCACCACGATTCGCATCGGTAGTATTATTTCCGAAGAAAAATGGGTCGGCCGAACGATCGCCCCACTTTTCTAGGGAACGCAAAACGGATCGAAGAGCTTCCCAGCTTGAGGGTTTTCGGGGTTGGAAGGGTGAGGCTTTTTTTTTTACATGGAAACAACCGACAAAGAGAGGCTACGAGACGAGCGCTTTTGACCTTGACTGCTTGTAAATTGTATAGAAGGATGGGTATGAAAACATCCTAGAATATTGCCTGACAACCCTTTAAGGACGGATGGGACAAATAAGCCACCCCATACGATGGTATCTTCTTCGATCGAACATCGTCGTTGCGTTCATTTTCATTAAAAGAATTTTAAAGGCGAGGACGATTGATTGTAAACGATACCGAAGAGGAAATAATATTTATTCAATTTTATTATTGGAATATTGGAGTAACCGAACCATGGAAACGATTTCAAACGGCCCACCCTGTATACTGATCCCAGAGTGTCAGGGAACGCGCCCGTTTAAAATAAACCGTCTCGACGTACACAGGCCAGAGACAATTCGCAAAGGCAACCTTCTCGTCGCGACACATTCGGACTCGTAGATGACCCTGCGACACTTTCGCGCTCTCTCGAATAAGTCTCGAGGACGCGGCGGTCCGTTTTCGTCGAGGAGGGAACGGAAGCTCCTCGTTCAAAATGCAACGCGAACGCCACGCGCGGCATTCCTCGGAAGCCAATTAAACGACTCAATCTTGAAAAGAAAACTGACAACGTTGTTGAGGAATTAGTTGAAACTTTCAATCAAAAATATTAAGACCACCCACCAAATCTTTTGAAGAATCTGAGAACTAATCCGAAAAAGTTGCAACCCTAAACTTCACGATATTCATGAGGCCAACATACCACGATGCATAAGGAATTTTGTAAGTTACGTCGTGTACTTAGAAACCCAAAACATCTACCAATGTAAAGAAAAAATTGCAAAAGTCAAATTTCGTTCCGATAGAAATGTTCCCGCAGTGTTCGATAACAGGAGGCGGGAAAGGAAAAAGATTCAAATTTCTCCCGCGCGCGCGTCCGTTAAACTCTCGCATCCGTCTCGCTCTCGCCGACGACGCTATTTCATTCCACCTCCTGCGATCGTTGAATCACCCTGTAGCACGTACACAACCCAGCAGCATTCCAACGGACATTCTAATTTTAGCCTTGCTCGTCTCGTCTCCTTCTCTCGTGAACGCGCGCCTCCGTAACGCGCCTCTGTTCTATCCGCTAGTATATCCCGCTCTTGCGCGGCTTGCGAGGTTATGTTTTTCGTGTCGCTTGGAGAGTGCTGCCCTCTACCGATGGTACGCGACACTTTACTCTCTTTCTCCCTTCCCTTCGGCGGCAAAATGCGAACCCAGGAAGAAAGAAGACGACGACGACGACGACGACGGGAATGAGAACACGAAAGAGACGGAGAGAGCAATGATCGTATATACCTCCCCTCGTGCTCCCGTGCCCGCGAACCTGACGCATCGGGGGCTTTTCGCCGGCTACCAGAAGGGACTACGCCTATTGGCGCAGGCGGCCAGCACTTTTGCCCGTGAATGAGATGTTTTGCATTCGCAGACGCTGAGAAACGTGTCGCGCGCGCTCGCTGCGCGACTAAATTGGAACACGCCGCGCGGTGCCCACTCGGGAGACTAATAAAAGGGTTGGGCGCGAACTACGTCGATTTTCGTCGAGGGTCGACGCGTCTCGGACGAATGAACTTCTTTTTAACATTTTGCATTAGATCTTTTTCTTTTTTTTTTTTTTTAATACGAGCGAGTAGAAACTTGGTGGCAATTTTGCGATACCCTTTCTAAAATAGAAAATGTTCTACTCCGCGGGAACGCGTGCAATTGAAATTGTACGTGTTTATTTAACCCAAGGTGCCGCCCTAGCGGCGCCTACGGAGTGCATGAAATCGACTCGAGCACCTGATGCTGTTTAGCTGGGCGAGTCTCAAAGCAGGAATGCGGTTAGTTGCATGCTCCTCTCCTATGGGTAATGCGATCGTTTCGGTGAAATTCCAATGCGGAACATCGGTTCGAATGTAAATATGATATTGGCGTTTCGGGAAGTTGGTATCGTTTCTTTTACGAGATATGTACAGAATTGTTAGTGCAAGCTGGATATGTGACATTGGTCTAAGACGAGTGTCTAATGCACACATTTTTTGGATATTGCAGGGGAACATTGGTAGCGGGGCAACAGTCGTTCTCGATTATTATATTTCGACTATGTTGCCGCATTGGCACTGGAACTATCCAACAATAACGTTTCTAATATTCGTATGTTACCGTTACTGTAGCTAATAATGGCAGTAAAAGCGTACTCGTGAGAAATAGTGTGCAAGTGTCGTGCAAGATAAAGCTATGTGCTAAGGAATGTTTAGATTGTTTTTCTATTGTACACAAAAGGTTTCAGTTGGAAGCGGTATGGAAATCTAATGATCGATGTGAGAACTAGTTCCACGGGACACGGCCTCAAGGCTGTTTACAAATCGCGCAAAAGACCGGCGTTACCGCTTATTGCGCAAACTTACGAAAAAAAACTGACGCAAACTGTCAACATCGTCAATTGAGAACTCGTGCCGCGCTATACAGTCGGCACAAATTATGACGTCTTCTTATCGTCGGAGAACAATCTCGAGCACCGATATAGACGCGCATCGATAATATAAACGTTGCGGTCGCAGTCACGGGACTTTGAATTATAGCGCGTTTCGGAAGCGACCCAAGTCATTAACCGAATAAGTCACGCGCATTCGCCAAGTTTTTTCTCCACGAGTGTACCCGTGATGTTATAATTGTAGCAAATATTGGCGTGCTTTAAATAGCTTCGTATCGGAGTGGCGATTAACTTATATAGTCTTTTTAAGACGGGCAAAAGAATTAATTTCAAATGAGATTACTCGTGTCGTCAAATGGCGCAAAACGTTCAAACGTTTTGAAGCTTTGACGTTTGCAAGCCAGATTGCAAAAATACATGAGATAAACGTATCCCGAGACAAAGATCGGAATACGTGTCGCGACCAAGACGGCCGCAAAACTGTTTGCTTCTACATCGTATCGTATAAACAAGCGGTCGATCCAAACATGTTTTTTCGGACGCGGACGTTGGCCGTTATAACGATGCTCCACACGTCCCTCTCTTCCTCTCTGTCGGTGGTCTCGAATGTAACAAAATTCAGCGATCATTCGTGCTTCACATGTATCGCGAGCGAGTGGCTCGACCTCGCGACGAATTCTCGCTTCTCATCCCTTTTCAACGTTTCCGTCAATTTGCTCGCATTGATGAAACAAGGGACTGCCGCGCGCACGCATTATTGTCGTGTCGTATCCCTGTTTAGTCGATATCTCAGCCCTCGATGCGTGAGATAAGTCGAGGGCGTTCCTCAATGCGTAAAAAATATTCAGTTTATTTCACGGAAATATCGGTGATGAACTTCACAAAAGAACCTACCAGATAGAACGTATACATTTTGTTTACAATGTAATGTCCCAACTTGCGAAACATCGAACGGCGATAAAGTCGAAGTAAAACAGATAATTTGTTATTAGTTTACTGTTGCTAATCCCGACTAAAAATACAACGACACTGATAAGCAAACAAAATTGACATGTTTACATTGAATTTTAAAACATCGTGCTAGGAATCCCGGATCTAAATCGCGAAGAATTTCTCAGAAACGGACGTATATACACTTGTTTGCTTAGAAATATCAAGATTTGAAATTTTAAATAGTTTCTTTTTCTACGAATGCGAGCGACGTTTTTGTCGTCGTAACGAATATTCATAACGTACGCTCGTTCGATTAGTAGCGTTTCAAGCAGCGGAAGTAACCGTTCCTGTCTACGCGACTGTCAACAAATAGACGATTACGCGCCACAATCATAAATACGAGATCCGCAAAAGTTCTACAGCCCCTCGAGAGAGTCTAAAAAAAAATTCAATGTTCCGTCGTTAGGAATATTCGCTATTTCTGCAAAGATTCGTTCAGTTGACTTCAACGGTCGATATATAAACAACTTTCGAACGGCGTTGAGATTACGCCTTGCCTGTTTTGGAACCGACAGCTTCGAGCGAATTTATTTAAATTTGAGCGAGCGTAAATTATTCATGCTTCGAGGCGGTGTGTTAACCTCCTCTTTCTTTCACCTCTTTTTCGACATACCGAATGTACTGTTCGTTTTCGTTTCCGAGGCTCGAAAGAGATCTAATTTCCAGAAATTTCCATGGAATTACGTCTTACTCGCGAAGCAGCCTCGATCGTCGAATCTCGCCCTTTCGTCCTGTCACGATAGTGTTCACTATCGATACGATGAACGCACTGTCTTCGAATAAACAAAAATTCCATGGACAATTTAATTGCGCGAAAATGTACACACTTGAAACGCGACGTTTCAATGCAAGCACGAATTCGTAAATATTCCTGCCAAAATGAAAAGAGAAAAAATCGACGAGTCGATACGTAATCACGCTCGAAACGAAGAAGAAACGCGAAGGGAGAACGAAAATTGCCGCACCAAAACAATTGCCGATTCCGGGGAAGACGCGCCTTTTCAGTGCAACGTTACCACACGCTCCCTTGGTCGAGAGGTTCGCGATCCGTGGGAACGTTGTCTCGGAAGATTCTCAAGATATTTTCCTCCGGATCGAGAATTACTTTGTCCCGGGGGCGTTCGGCGAATTTTCTTCGAAGAACAAACAATGGATTTCGCGCGCGATTTGGCAAGCAAGAAGCAACGACCCCCGTTGTCACGGTGATGAATTCCCCGTGAGCGTCGCATCGTCTATCTCTCTGCGAGCCGTACCGTAAACAGAAACAGACGACGCCTCGAAATTCCCTCGTCCGTTTCCGCGGGAACAGAGGCACTTGGTTGAACGAGGGCAAAGCTGCTCGGCGTCATCACACTCGATCACAACTTCCGCGAACTTGTTATTTTACTACGAATGCGCGCACCGGTGGGGAAGACGGTTCACGACGGTACGTCGAACGCGATACAACAAAACTTTCTTCTTCTCTTACCTTGAATAATTTCTTAAGCCTCCGGTAGCCGCGATGTAATCGCGACATGTACTGCTTGTTGGAATCCAGTTTGAATAATTAAAGCCACAGTTGCGGGAAAACGAAAATGAAGAACCAAAGAATCGAAAAAAACCAAAGAACTTTTTTGTTGTCTTTTTTTTTATCTGTTGCTTTTTTATCTAGTGAACTCTCGAGAAACAACCGGGTATGTGTCGCGGCGTCTGTTCGTCGTTAACTGTTAAACTACGAATTTCTGACAGCGTCTCGGGTACGTATATACTTTACGTGTGTATATGTATACATATATATATGCATTCGCGGGCACCGAAGAACGAAAAACACGTTCGTGGCCGTTGAGAGCCGTTCGCTTACTGAATTCTACGCCTGGCGTGTCCCGGCTGCTAACCCGCGCTTTCCCCCCACCATGGACCATTCGTTGGCGGCAAGCCTCCCCACCATTTCGTCTCACCCCCACCGTAGCACCATTCCACCACCACCAGCAGCGAAACCCGCATCCGGGAATGGTGTCGGGGCGATCGAGGGGGTAGCGTATCCCTCTCCACCTCCAGCGTCGATGGTAATCTTACCGCGGATCGTAAAGCACGTTTACCCCTGCGGTCAAGTGCGAAAATTGCAATGAAAGCATCGAGACACCACCTTCGAGTCTTTCTCTCCCCGTGCTTGTCGGCACCAACGCTTTTTTCCCCCCAAATCCGTCGAACTCGAAACGGAAAACAAGGACGGACGATATCGTTCCAAGTCGATTTTCTTTCGAGAAATGGTGGGAAATCTCGACGATGGAAAGTTCAGCAATTTCTAACTTGCGCGCGACAAATAGGAAAGCGTTACAAAATGTTCCGCATAAATTTGTCGATTTCGTCGCGATATAATAGCTGGCAGACGCATTCGCGAACGACTCGACTTCCGGAGACTACGGAATGCGAGGCATTCGACGGGCACGAAGCAATAAACGCCGCGCATCGTGGTACGGTTCGAAAGAGAGCGTTACGCATTCTTGGGGGTCGTGGTTGGGCGGGAAAATCGTTTGTTTCCTTTTGAATGGAAAACGTGACGAAATCGTACGATTAACGGTAGACGTAGCTCGATAGCTGACGAATTCGATCATTTTCATTAAAATTAGCGTGCTACATTGACGGTAAACATTGCGGATACTTGTCAGCATCAGCAAACGTTCGGAGCGACTTTACGTGCGAATTTGAGCGTCGCTCGAGGAGAGAGAAAGAGCGCGTCGATGGTGGGGCGACCCTCCGATGAACGATGGTGGGGGATCCTGGGGAATCCCTGGATGTGCGCATGCGCAAGGCTCTTGGTGGGGTTACAAACCGACGGCGCCAGTATTCTATTCCCCTCCCCGCCTTGCGTGGAACTGCTGGCTCGTCGTTGTTGTTGCCTTGGAAGGGAGGGCATGGATCAAACGCGCGCAGTGCCCTGTCTCTCTCTTGGTGTGTTTGTTTGTTTATAGTCGCGTTCTGGGAAATACCCGACGCGAGTAACGGACTCTTGCGCGCGCGTAGGCTTGCATTCCCATTCTGGCGTTGCATCCGGTCGGGTCGTCGCGAGTATCACGATGGAACGCCTTCCTTAGTCGTCTTCTTTGCCCTGCTACTTAGCATTCTCTCTTCTCTGCCCACTTACGCGCGCGCCCTTTCAAAGCCTCCTTTACGTTTATTCATCCCGTTCCGAACGAGAAACGATCGACTTTACATATTTGTCGCTGGCTCGCACTTGATGTTTCCGTAGCGTTTACTCCAGGTACTCGAGTTCTAATTTCGCGTAAAACGTTTCACTTCTAGTCTGCGTCATTTTACCGTGCGAAACGTATCTCGTTTGCTTGCTACAGCTTTCCTTGCGTTGCGGTGTACTTAGTTTCGACAGCGCGACCATTCGACCAGGAAGCGTTTCTAGCGGTGTCGTTCTTGTGTGTTGTTACGGAATTTTCAGGAGTATAACGTAAACGTGTTCGTTACCTATCGGGCTACCGTTGGGCACCGATTTTGAAAACATCCGGCGATATCACCGTTCTCCGCGATACAATCGGACACGCAACGGCCCGATAAAAACTTTATCACGTTCACTCGAAAAGTAGTTCACGCATAATCTCAAGAATGCAGCACATCGCCACGGTATTTCTCGGCTGCAAATATCTATAAATCGCACAGCGTATATTGTACAATGTAATTGTGTAAGGGTGTTAAGCGACGCCGCGAGACGGGAAATCGAGACGCTCCGAGCGATAAAAATAAATAACAAATTGACGATAGACTGTTCTGCACGGGGCAGGAACAACGCCGATGACATTGTTACTGGCTTCTAGGATATATTGCATATCCTATAGGATATAATTGCATACGTATGATTTGTTGATAACTACAGCTGGTAGTAGCGATCGGCAGCGTAAGAAGAAATAGAAACTTCATTTTTGTTTTAAATTGCATTCTAATCTGAGAGGCTTCGCTCTGAGTTTTAAAATTGAAGAAGCGGTCCTAGCCAGAGGCGCCCCGCCGCGGTGCATCGTTTACTTCCACGCAACGTCGGCCCCGTTTAAAAAATAATTATTCCCCAAGGCCCAGAGGCTTCCACATCGAACAACCCAATCTATTTTTCATTTTTCTAACGTTATAGGTTTAAATATCGACTAGTTAGCGTTAATAGGTTAAAAATTCCTGCGTTTCTTCGAACCCAGTGGCTCGTTTAGCTACCGAACTCGTGACGAATGGTCACGAGCACCGTTGACGACGGTCATCCGTTTTACAAATCTCGTCCCATTTGTCCCCGTGTCCAAAACTACGGATCCGTCGTCGCTGTACGCAAATGCGTGGTCGGCGAGCGTTCGACGACAGGCACCGCTCGGCCGCCATCGATTAATATCCGCGACTGGTCCATTTAATAATATTGTTGTCCGACGTCCAACCGCTGATATCTTGTTTACACGTTCCGCGTAACCGTCTTACACAGGGAACGACAAAGTCCAGCACGCCGAGAACGGTTTCGCAGTTGTTGACTCTTCCGCGAATCGTCGGCATTATCGTTTCTTTAAATGAATAATTGCTCGGTTCTTATGCATGGGCATCGCGCGAGCTAGCATCTCGCCGACTAGAAACGCATAATGACAAGAGAACCCTTCTGGCCACGTGCCTCCCTTGCCTGCCGTCTGGCCATCTTGAATATTTTTACGAAATCGAGTTTCAATTATCTCCAGCCACGAACTCGGGGTTCTGGCGGAAAGATTTCACCCTAACGTTCTGCCTTGCAAACATGCGATGGAAATCTCACTATTTATCTTGCATTCGTGGCGTTTAGAGTAATATTCCGCGTGCTTAACATCAAAACTTCGAGCAATCAAAATAATAGACGAAACGTTCGAAAACATAAATACCGCGAATCGATGGATATTTTCTCGTTCGCAATGATCGGAGTATAAATAACACACGATGCGATAATAGCATGACATTCATTGAAATCTGGCGACGAACAGCGCGAAAAGATTCCATCGATGTCTCGATACGGAAGAGCATGGCGATCGAGGACGGTTGGTGTAAACAAGCCGCGAAGCAAGAATGGAAAGTATAGCGATTGCGCGTTCGCCACGATGCTTGCACTCGCGCGTCTCGAGGAATGACCTAAAAAAACCTTTTATCCCCCGCCGGGAGGTTTCCACTGAATATGTCATGCAGTCATCGAACTTGGAGCGTTATTATCGCGATCGTTTGCTCCAGTGCCTCGTCGCAGTGTAAACAAATCTCCATCGCCGACTGAGCGGGGAAAATACATGGCGGAGGAGCGCAAGAGAAAAAGAAGAAGAAGAAGAAAAAGGCTCGTGTGATGCGTGATGTTGCCGCGCTACGTAATTAGCGCGCGAAAATAGATTTTTGCGAAATGATCCGAGCACCCACTCTGGTATGTCAATGAAAACAAATCCTTGTTCCCCTTTTTCCCCTCTACTTCTCCCTTTCTCTTTGTCGAGGCCTGGTAGCTCCGGCGAAGGCCGCCGAATACTGAAATATGTATACCTCGCCGTTCAGAATAGTCGAATCATTGTTTGCTCGATCAGAGTCCCCCGTATCGTATTGCTTTTGGCAGAGGCGACGGTACATTCTCGAGTAACGGTCCCATTTGTATTATCTATTTATTTATTTATACGAGAAACGAACGGTATTAACCCGACAGAGCTACGCTGGGACTGATCAAGGGCGCACGGTCACCCTAGGCGACGTCAACCGATGGCGCCCCCTACGATTTTTATTTCTTAGTCGTAGGGTTATCTGTGCTGGTAGCTATGATAACGGTCTGTTGAAAGCAAGACAGCAGGTAATTAAATTTATTTTTAATCTCTGGCGATGTCTTCCGAACGAATGTAATAGATTTATGCCTCTCTTGCGTGATTCATTCTTCAGATGGAAGTACAAATATTCAACGAAAACATGATAGGTATGCTACAACGGTAAAACATCTCGATAGAAAAAATACAACCACTATCCTAATCACCAACACATTTGCTATTGTAAAATTCACGAATTGATTTCTCTATTCTCGATTTTCAAGACAATTAAATCGGTAGCGTTTCGGATGGTAAGAATAATTGATATGTTGTGTACTCAGCTGAAACCTGGTTGTCAATCAACAGATTCATGTTTCTGTGTCGTCTGGCTCGAGAAAGTCGTTTCGTAAACGTTCCGCAAAAGAACACGCACCCAACGTTCGCCACAGATTGCCGCTTTGATTAATGGAACGTGGATGTTACAATTCGCGATCGTACGCGAAACGCGGCAACTAACGTACTGCGTGTCGTACAATATTTAATTTTAGCTAATATGGCCAGGTTATATTTATCGTCGCTCACCACGTGCACGCGCCGCGCGCGTACAAAGCATTAAAGAGACACAATTGTGCAAACATTTGAACGTAATTGGAAAAGTTGCGACTCGCGCGTCAGCGTGTTTGCGCAGTGCAGAAATTCACGTGGGCACCCGACAAATCTGGAGACAGAGACGGGCAACATTTCTGATTAGATACGGAAGGTGAACACCTTTACTCATAGAATATGAATCAAAGTTTGAATTATGCAATGAAAAAAATGCGTACGCGAAGGTCATGAAAAATAATTATCGTTATAGCCTTCGTCGTTGTTCCGAAAAATAATCACTCTGTAAACCATGCGTATATTCCTGCCCGAAAATATTAAAAAGCATGCTCTTTTAGAATTGTTTGAAACACGTGTAAAACTGTCATTTGCTGGTGATATTTTAAACATAGAGGCAGGACGAAATGTATATTTGCGTCCCTTGGACGCTTTTCAAGAAACATGTTATTCATCAACGGCTATGTAAAGTAATTTCTCCCGACGTTTTGTCGTCGAAATTTTCAACGTATCCATTGTAACATTCTTTTCGTCATCGTAAACGTAATGGTCGCGGAATACAGATCGAAAATAGGTGGTAAACGAAACGGGATCGTAACTCGGTTATCCTTGATGCGGAAGCGCGTATTTAGCGCACCCGGTATATAAACCGGCACACGTACGGCGCATCCTCTGGTACTATCTTGCTGTGCTAATGTCGGTGCCAGAAAACCACTGGAAAATCGGTCACGAGTGACTAATCGTCGAAGAATTGCCGCGGTTCTTGTTCACCTCGCTTCTTGCGCGAGAAACATCAAACC